AAATGTATATTTTAAAAGTATAATTTTTACTGTTTGAAATGTTAAATTCTCCCAGCGTGAGACCCCCTTCTCTTTCATCTGAGTTCCCCTTCTCTTCATAATATGGACTATATATTGAAATGGCAATTTTTACTGTTTGAAACTGTAATTTTTTAAGATGGAAGAGTCGTTATTTACTATAGTGACAACTACTCATTACTTATTTTAGATATTAAATTATAAATTGTGGCTTTTATACTCTCTACATTAAGTTCTGTAATATTTATATTTTTGCCACTCCGATGTCCGCTTTACTGTTTGAAACTATAAAAACTAACCGGAATCCGAGTGAATATTACAGTTTACTTTTTTCCGTGTATTTAATTTAATAAAAATTTATGATCGAAAATATCTAATAATAAATACTCTTCATTCTTAATATTTTGTATTTGAGTAAGCGTTATTTGTATCTCAAATGAAGTTTCTTTTTTTTTTTATTTATTTAGAAGTACGAATTTAACTTCTCGTTAAGAAGATAAGAAATTTTCAAAAATTAGTAATCGCTAGCCTGCACCGAATAAATCGGTAGCTTGCACCGAAAAAATCGGTAGACTCTACCGAAAAATAATCGGTACCTGCTACCGATTTTTTTCGGTAGCAGCTACCGATCGCCAATCGGTAGCATCTACCGATTATTTTTTTCCGTGTATAAAAAAATATACACACGAGGGGTTGTTACTATGAGGGCTCGAACAATGTTGCCTTATTTTCACGAAATATAAATATGAATTTAATATTATAAAATAACTGTTGAAAATTTAATTTTCTTTTTATTTATATTTCAAATAATTTTGCTACACTGAGAAAAAAAATACTTTTATTAAGAAAATTTTCTTGATACAAGAATTTATGTTCTTGAAAATTTTCAAGAATATATATTCTTAGCTCAAGAAATTTTTAAATTGATTGAAATAATTTTTACTTAATTTAAATAAAGCTATTCTTTTGTTTATCTATTATTCAAAGATAAATATTGATGTTCTTCACTTCAGAAATTAATAATTAATAATAATAGAATATATGATCGTCAGCGAGTTTCTTGAACCAAGAAATTGTTCATTGAGTAAAAGTATTTTTTTTTCTCAGTGTATAAAAGAAATTTTTTATGTGAAATATTACTCAAATAAAATAATATAATGCAAAAAAAGCTAAAAGAAGAGTATAGACAAAAAGTATTAAATAATAAAAAAAAAAAGTCTGAAATTTATTGTTACAAGTGTCGATAATATAGACGTTAAAGCAAAATAATTATAAAGGATTTTGAATACACTTATATATTAGCATGTGCTCAGCGGAGCGCAGTGGCAAACACACATACATACTGGTAGGAGATTTTATCGCGGTGGTTTCTCTGGGTGATTTCAGACTCAACTCGGTACGGCTACTGCTCTTACAACTTAACTCTATACCTATACCTGTACTTTTCCGTTCGCCGAACATTAATTTACTACATAGCAGTAATAATACTTAGTCCCGATGTGCTGTTTTTATTTGCTAATGTCCTTATTTCACTTTAATACTCCATACGCTGATTCGAATCTTTTTTCTGAGAAAATTATAAAAATTGCTCGTTCTTTCGTATAATTTATTCGCTCTATTCTAAATGCAAATTTAACTAGCTCAATAACTGTTTTATTACGTCAAGTAAATTACATTCAAATGTTTTGATTTTTTAAAAACATTAACATACACATAAATATTTTTCTACACTATTCAAAGAGACAAAAAATTTTATCGCCATTATTAAACAAATTTACAGCAGCATTGTTGTTACTTTGAGGAAGTGTATACTCACTTGAGTTCAATGTATAAAGCCTTTTCAACATTTACTCGGAATGTGAATCTTTTAGAATATTTTTTTTTGTGATTTAAAATTATAATTTAATTTTTTTTTTTTTTAATCTTTTAGAATATTTTTTTTAAATTAAAAAAAAAAACGTGAGTTATTTTACGCGTAAGGGTCGAAGAATGTAATCATATATTTATTTTTATAATTTTATGTAAAGTTAAATAACGTGGGACATTTTATAAATAATGAACTAAAAATATAAATTATAAAAAATTGCAATAATGAGAAAACGATTATTCAAATTAACAGTAAAAAGTTTCATTGTACATGATTGGCGGCTGCTGATTATTTACAAGAAACGATTATTTCTTTAACCAGAATATTGTGTGAAGTTAATAATCGTGACTTCAACTTCTAAAGTACTCAACTTTTACCGAAATAATAAGACGTACTATACTTTTCGTATTTAAAGGTAATTTTTGGTATCACGAAGTTTAAGTTTCTTTTCTAACTGGCCATTTCCAGAATTATCCAGAGGCGATTGAGTCACTTAACAAGATTTCAAATTATTTTCAACTTATTCCTTCATTTATTTTATATATTTTATTCAAAGTATTATTTTTAATTTCAAACTTTCACAAATTATTTTAAATTCTTAATATTTAAAATTTTTTTATTGATTTTTATAAATTTTATTTAATTAAATATTTAATTAATTATTTTCTTGACAAGAAATATCAACATGTATTATTTGAATTAACGAAAAGCTTAATTAACTCAATTGATTCTTCCGAAAAGAAATATATTTTCAATAATTATTTAAAAAATTTTTTCTCGTGCCAAAAAGAATTTTTTTAATAAAAAGATTTTTCTTTATACCTCGGTCGAAAGTACGCAAATTTTGCATCTTTTAAAAGCAGAAAGTTCAAGATTCGTGCATTGGTAGAGCTACGCATACGTCTTTTGTTACAGCGGGAGCAAAAACTTTTCTACCGCATTAAAACATGTGTGAAGTTGCTTTCAGTACCCCAATTATGTTGGTTATTTGATACTAACCGTATTTTGTTTACGCTGATTGTATATTTCATAAAGCATTGACAATTTAAATCGTGAAGGATTTAATTTATTTAATTAACAAAATTATGTCGACTGATATAAAAAAATAATGTGAATCTTGTTGATTTATTAACTTATCGATAATATTATTATTCTTTATATTTCCCAACCATAAAAAAATGTTAGTTAATTTTAAAAATGTTTATGTTTGTTCAATTGAACAGTTTATTGTGTTTATATAAAATAAGTCTTTTATTTATTTACATTGGTTTCTTTGTTTTGATGCCTGCCCCCCCCCCCCTCGACCAGCAGCACTCGCTTCGCTCATGCCGCAAATGTCGGGGGCAGGCATCAACTTCTTTTGATATAATATACACAATATTTTTCGTACTTTCGACCGGCTATAAAGAAAAATAGTATACACTACACGGGCAGAAGTTTGAAAGCCCTGAACTGCACGCCATGATGCCCTCGGCTTCGCCTCGGGCATCATGGCGCGCAGTGCAGGAATTTCAAACTTTCTGCCCTAATAGTGTGATATACTATTTTCCTTAGACCAAAAAAAAAAGTTTAATTTAAATAATTTAATAGCTACAAAAAACTCAACAAATGAAATTATTAATAGAATTACTTAATGGACAGAAATACATAAAAAAAAGTACCTAATCATTAGTTACAAATTTATAATATGAAAACCCACAAGAAGCCCTAGAGACATGATAATAATATATTATATCAGAAGACTTTGTTTGCGCATTTATAGGAGCAAAATTTGAATTAAACGTCAGTAGTCAATGCAGGATAAATGTAATGTTGCTAAGGTTTGCGTTGCGGAAAACGGGTATTTATTCACAGGAAGCACGAGAAAATACAGGAAAGTCTCTTGAGAGCTAATTAACCTAAGCACTACACCAGCAAGAGAGTAGCAGTGCCCGGTCTGAGTTCTGATGCTCAGAGACCACTGGTTGCTTACACTTGCTTCCATTCGTTAATACATTTAATTATCTTTATGGTTTACTAGAGTTCTGATTACTCGTAAATGCTACCTACCAACTTAACCGTGTAATATGCTCTTACTACTCCCATTTGCTACACACTCTGACGTACTTGCTTATATTAAATACATAATATATACATACGTGCATTGCCTCTATTTTTAAGTTCTGCATTACGGACGTTTTAGCACCTAATGTTATACTAAAGCACAGCAAGTGCCGGAAAGGCCACTAAGGATCATTAAAATCTTGGTAAGTTCTTCAGAAAATAATTTTATTAATTTCCTCTTTCTGTTTTTATATATTGTATTTTATTCGGATTTTTACGGTTGAGTTGATACGTTATTACATGGGTGTAAAGTTAAAATATGTAATTTTGAATAAAGATTTATATTCTTTGGATAATTTATATACTGTGCGGTGGACCCTTAAGGTATAGAGACTATTAAATATTCAAAATTAATTCCTTGAGCTGTTTGCGGTCTACCGCGATAATATAACAATAATTATTATTTTTTTAGTTGTGATGATAATAATTATATGAATAGAGAGTGCGTACACGGAAAGAATTAAATTATATCATTTACATAATACTAAATTTTTTTTTTCTTTTTAATCATCTAAGGTAGAAAAATTTGTCCAGTGTTGAAATAATTAGTTGTATCATTTTTACTACTTAGTTCTCTTCGTGTAGTTTTATTTTTTATTACTATTAGTAGCTAATAAGTTTTAATAATCATTCGCGAAGGTCTATAATATATCTGTGAGGGAGTTAAACAAGAAATCTATTAGTTGGAGATATTGTTGGTAGAAGTAAAAATCTAGTGTAAGCATATTGCTGTTACTATTGCGCAAACTAATATTCTAGCCAGCAGTAGAGTTTATAAAAGTGATTGTCCGACTGCAACTAGTAGTTTCTCCTTGCCTCATACCCTGTATTATATTTGTCGGCGCTGACTCGCTAGTTTAAACGAAGGTAAATGCTCTTGTAATATTGACCCTGTCCTAATTAACAGTCAGTTAAACAAAATAAATTGTAACTAGAGAAACCCATAATTATATCATGTTTATTTTTATTTTTTATTCGATTATTAGTGTTATTTCCTCATATTTTTTATTTCAATCATTATTACTGGTATCTATTTTTTATAAAAAATATAATAATAATAATAATAATAATAATAATAATAATAATTTTAATATTTTTATTTTTTCTAAAGACTAGTTTATAATATTTTTATAGATATTTTTCTGACGTCAGTCATTGAAAATTTTCAGTTTATTGGCTATCCAGTCTAATACAACAATTTTTTTCTCTAATTTTTTCATAATATTGTTAGTCTGTATTTCCCTCCAGGCATAAACAATTTATTTTCAATTCGAATTTTAATTTATCATTAAAGATAAATTTGACTGAAAAATTAATTCGGACGGCCCAGACCAAGACTCGAACCTGGATCTTTTGGTTACGTGGTTACACGAATTCTGGACAGTGTCTCGGATAGCTTAACAGGTAGAGCCTTTGGCGCGTAACCAAAAGATCCAGGTTCGAGTAAATTTTACTTGATTCAAGAATTTTTTGTCTTGAAGTTATTTTTTTTTCTGTGTTATATTTATGTGATAAAATGAGTTTTTTAAATTAAATTTAGTATCATTGGAAAAGTCGACCTGAATCAGTGCTTTTTCAATGTTCACGATAAACAAAATTTGTTAATTTGTTTATTTTGTTTTGTCCACGTGAATGTGGTTATTCGTCAAAAATCAATTTATATAATTAAGAAACTAAGAAATATTTAGTAACGGGTATATCTTTATCGTAAATTGGGTTTGATATTTTTTAGCGATAGTTAATGATGATTTAAATAATTGAGAGAGTAAAGAAAATTTTTTGACGTGCGTATTATTATTTTTAAAGAAATTTTTATACTTTAATTTGGTATCATCAGAAAGGTCGAGACAAGAATTAGTGCCTTTCGGTATTATATATTTTTTAATTTTTATGTCAAGTTTTTGGAGGAGTTTTTAATAGTTTTTTGGTTTTATAAATTTGTTCGGTCACATTTGTCCATTAAATTATTTGTAATTGATCCTGTGATAGCACTATTATTTTTGAAATTTATTTAAAAAGTATCCAAACTATATACAGTATGATTATAAATAAAAAAAATTATTAAGTCAAAGTTTTCTTATTCATAATTCGTAAATCTCGGCAGTCACATAGTGACTGCAGGTTGCTAGTAATAATATTAATAATAATAATAATAATAATAATAATAATAATAATAATAATAATAATAATTGTTTTAGTAAAGGATGAAAAATTAAACAACTTAAAATAATAAATTGCCGGACTCGTTTAATGATTATGATATTAATAATATTAAGTGGAAGAATAAATAATAAATGAGACAAAGTTAACATTATATAAAATGAAAGTATGAAAAATTAATACAGGGTAATAACATTGAATGTCTTATCGTATAATAATAAAATAAAATAGTATAAAAGGATGCACATAAGTACGCAGTCAAGTGCAAATGAACTCGGTGCCTAGTGTATAGCGATGCAGTGTAGCGCACACGCCTGAGTCATCCTGGCAATGACAAGGATAGATGAAAGAAACGCATTAGCACGTGATGTTTGCGCGAATGTCATGACAGGTACATAATTGAAATGAGTTTGCGTGGTGGGAAACTTAAATAAATAATAACAACTCTATAAAATTAATTTTCTAGGTAGTGCGTTAATATACAATTTATTTCATTTAAAAATATCATCACTTCCGGATGAAGCGATGCCAAAAAAATTAAAAAATTCTTACAATCAATGCCTATAAAAATATTAATAACGTAAATATTTTTATGAAATTACGATAATAATAAAATTAAATTTCATAAAATTTATGCCCGTCAGAATAAATTAAAATTTGAGCGGGTTAATTATTAAAAAATAATAATATACAATAAATGTAGCAGCTAACATGTAGACTGTAATTAAAATCGCCTCAACACGAATATCAATCAAGTTGTACCTTTAAAAAAATTTTGAATAAATTATATTAAGAGAAACAGACGAAAGTTTTACTATCCTCTATAAACCCAAAAAAATAGTAACTATATAATATAAAGCAAACTATAAAAATTTATAACAGTACACAAAAAATAGTCTGGGCGAATGTTTTTTTGGTTTCGTAAATTTAATATTTATTTTATTTTTCAGCATCTCCATCATTCAGGCAATAAATTTTATTGAGTTATACCGTAATTCCATAAAAGATAAACTAGCTAGCTTATATGGGCTACCTTGAGCATGCAACAAACCACAACGGACCACTAAAAATTGATAGGAGGATCAAATAAAAATAATAAACTGTACGCTCGTCCTGAGTAGTACCCTCCAGGCATATTATACTCTTTTCTAAATTTTTTTTCGTACTCAAGTCAATCAAACTTTACGAAAACATATCAGTTTTTATATAATAAAATTTTACAATCAACATTTTGTACTAATTTACATTTTTAGAAAAGTCATGTTTTAAATTTAAATTTATTTTTTGTAGAAAGAAATTTCTCACTAAGCTAAGCAGTAATCTTTAGCTTAGTCGCAGAAAATATTTGATCAAAAAATTATTTATTTTATTATCAAAAGCAAATCATTCACAAAATCATGAAATATTACTTTTTAATCAGATATTTTTTATTCTGAAAACATATCATTAGAAGGATATTGATGGTTTTCTTCATTATCTTCCTCATTTCCTTGATGAGAATTTTCGGCACCATTTTCCGAAGATTCTTGACCGTTGGATTCTGGAGATTGGTAAGTTGCTATCACTGTGAATTCGTAGCCGGGTTTTGGAGTGTAATCATTCGGGTTAGCATTTGGCGCACATTTTGCCTGGTAAAAAATACGAAATAAAATATTAATAGTTCTAGAATGACGACTAAAATAATTTCGATGCTTAATTTTATGACCATAACATCAGCTAAATAAAAATTTAAACTGAAGTTTTGATCGATAATAAAATAATCCTACAATCGTTAATATTTTTTAAAAAAATGATCGAACTTACTTTTCTGGTTGCAGTTATATTTTTCATAAATTCTTCAGTGAAGGCTGAGAAATTTCTCTCTGTCATTTTCATTTGTAATCCTTCCTCCATGGATTCGCGATAATTTGTCCATGAAGCTTCTTCTAACATACACTCCAATAACAGAGCACGTATGATATTTACGTGATCATCGTTTTCGACATCGTCAATAGTCATTGTCTTGTTTGCAGCTGTGGACTCAACTTTATGAGACAGCTCAGTAGAAGACTCATAAATAGGCTGAGCTGAGACCTTTCGATAATAAAAACTATTTAATTAAGTTTGTTTAAAAATTTTCTTATAAAAAAATCCTATCCGAGGACTTTTTTAACGAAAATTCACACGAATGACAGTGAAAATATTTGAATTTTCACGATTTTGATTTAACTCTGTACCACAGTGAGTCAAATAAATTTTGTTTATGGTTAATTTAACGAAAATAATTAAAAAAAAATAGTTTGTTGAATACTTACTGCGATAACCAATAGGCTGCAGATTGTTAAACGAAACATCGTGATTTTTTTTACTAAAAAAATTTAGATTGTTACAAATTTATCATTTTTTATTCTTTTGAAAAAAAAGAAAAATCAAAGCGACAATATTTAAAAAAAAATATAATTTACTTACTTGGAAGATTCTTCGAGACTGTAAAAAATAATTAACTATTAGTGAAGAAATCCGGCTCACTTTTATACCTAAAAATTAGTATGTGGTGGGGGATCAAGTGACAATAGAAAAAAATAGAATACAAGTCTGTAGAACGTTTTAATAATTTTAATTATAATTATAATCGAATGACGCACGGTGAGATAACAAAGACGTTAAAAGTGATAGAGCCATCTTTTAATAATTAATAATAATAATAATAATAATAATAATAATAATAATAATAAGCGGTGCTTGCTACGTGGCCTCCAAGCGGCGCATCGCGGGAAACGCAGACCATAACACCAGGTCTGTAGGCGAATGACTTTGGCCTGCTGTGATCACTAACCGCCTTGTTGTGCGGAGTGGTCCAGCAGTAATGGATGGAGCTCAGGCTGGGCCCTCGGAGAGTCGGACTCCGGGGACAACCCCCCTGAGCATTTAATAACATAACAATAATAATAATAATAATAATAATAATAATAATAATAATAGCAACAAAAAGATAGTACGCATTAATATCTTTTAATGACTATAAACGAAATTGTTAAGCTAGAAAAAAAATATTTTTATTTTATGTTGTTTAAATTAATCCTTTGTTTTGAAAAAATTCTGATCGTAGTATAATTTAAATTTAAAAACAAAGCATCTATAACTACCATAAAAAGTGAGAACTAAATAATTTAGTCGTTATCTCTGCTAATAATAAAAACCTTATCTGGTCGCATGACGCATGTCGATGAAGTGATGAAATAATTAGTTCTAAGTAGAGTAAAAAACGCACATTATTAATTTCTATAGCGTCTTATAAAGTCACTCCTTACAAAACAACATCCAATCAATTTACCAAAGAAGAAAGAGAGAATTCATAATTACAAAGAAACAACCATTATTGATTGTTGTTATTCTGATAATGTACATGAATAAAAAATTTCTTTTTAAAGCTTGTGGATACAGAATTTTTTTTATCAAAGAAATCATAAAATATTTTCATTTGCATACATACATACTCAACTTAGTTGACCTTGAAATCATTAAATTACGTGAAATAATCCAATTGCTAAATAAATGGGACATTGATTTTAGAATGATAATTTAAAAGCACTCATGCTTATATAATTTTCAATAAACATCGAGTATTCTCAATTATCATTAACTGTGTAAGAAAATTTGTCTTCATTGAGTATTAATCAAATAATTGCGAAATTTTTGTACAAAAAATTTTGTTAAAATGACTATAAAAAAACATTTAGTCGCTTTAATTACAAGAAACATTACTTTTTATCCAAGTTAATTTTAAAAATCAAAAAATTTTTCGATACAGGTATCAATATTATATAAATTTAATATTGAATAAGTTAATTTTATTACACTTAAACAATTTTTGACAATCACAAAATTATTTATCCTCATTAAAAAAACATCGATAATTAATCACACATAAAATCAACGATTAAACTTCGCGAGTCAGTGTTATGATTTTCTGGACGAATTATTTAAAGCAGCCTTGCTGGCAATTATTCTCGGTTAATTCGAGTTTTGTGCTTTTGTGTTGACGTTTTTAAGTTATTAATCATGGCAAAATTTGTACTTAAGGTAACTATAGCAATTACTCTTAAAATATAATGTGATAGAAGAATCGTGTAAGAAATGGTCAAAAATTAAAACCTTGATACTTTAATTTATAATTTACAATTTTAATTAATTTAGATTGCGGTGCAGTATTTTTTAATGGTCATTATTACAATTTGCACAACTGTCGCGGATTATCACGAAAAAAATAATAGTACGAGTAATGAAACTAATCATAGTACCAGTAAAAACTACTCATCAAGCAGTAACACGCAGGCGCGAAATAGCACAACAACCAATGAAAACGGGACGTTCATCCTTTACTACAATGCAACTTCGAGTAATATCAGTAGCATCTTCAACGAGACTGATTTAGGTGAAAGTAATTTTGACGAGACTGATGTCGATAAGACTAATGTCAACGAAACTAATTTTAATAAACATGATCATAACGCCAGTGTAAATCATACTTTCGCAATCAGTGTCTTCAATGAAACCATTTCCAACCAGACTAGTGTAGCCGAGAACAAAAATGGCACTGCAACTGTCGACGGGAGTGTCACGACTGTCGATAAAAATGAAACCACCGTTTGCAAAACTGAAAAGGTTACAAATGAAGACGGCGGCACTACTGTTAAGCAGACTGTTATAACGAAAGACAGCGACATCACAACTGTTGATCAGACTAACGTCTTTGGAAACAAAGATGGAACTGCTACTATTGAAGAGATAGTGACAGTTGCCGACGATGACAAAATAGTAGTCAATCAGACTGGTGTAACTACAAACAAAAATGGTGTCGTAAATTGGGATCCTGTTTTTACAGTCGAACGTGATAACCAGACCACTATTTATAAGACTGACGTCACCAAGAACAAAGATGGCACGATAATTGTTGATGAATTTGTTACCACGAAGACTAAAGATGGTGACACTGTTCATCATACTGTCAAACATGAAGACGCCAATGGTGGGACTAGAGTTCTAACCAATACTGTTACTGTAAATGGCACCACTGTCGATTGTTACGCTATCTCTACAGAATCGGAGCGAAATGCTTGTCAACAAGGCACTTATCAAAAATTTTTTAGGAACTAATTTTATCCACAGATTCGGTAGAATCTGGCGCCAAGTTCCGTTCAAATCCGTTGTCAACAAAGCGCCAGACTACCGACTGTGTTTACTGTAAGAAGAACGGTATTTTGAGGTTGCGAAATTTTATTTAATTCTACGGTACTTTTTTTTCCTAAATTGTATATTATAACAGAAATTCATACTTTATTTTACTGTTATTAATTAAATATATTCACTTATAACAATTAATCTACTTGAAATTACTAAATTTAATCAGCACAAACTATAGCAACGCAAAAATTTCGATCCTGACTTTTTTTCGATGGGCAAAGTGATCTGCCACAGACTAAAATATTCGAGAATGCATAGTAATCCTTCATCAGATGGGAAACTACAGTTAAAAAAAGATATATCACAGCTTGCATCTACACCCGCCAGAGTGCGCTGGAATTATTTTTACATAAACTGTAGCTTCAAAAGGATAGTTTGCTATAAGAAATGCAGCCAACGCGAGATTTAAGTAGGTACCAATTGTAAATTTTTATTAAAATTACAAAAAATACTAAAAATCCGAACAAAAACAGTTTCACTCTAAAAAAATCGCGCCAAGTCCACGTTCATAAAGACTATTAAGAAAAAAAAATTAGTTTTTTCTTTACAAAAAGATAAAAAATAAAAAAATTAAAAAATCCTCGTAACCGATATAATTGTTTATGATTTTCGGAAATTAAAAAAAATTTGTTGTAAATTTAAAAATTAAAAAAAAAATTTTGAAACGTACTTGGTGTGCGTCATATTGAGCATTTCAATTTTTTTAAAGTCCTAGTAAATACATTTTACGAATTTAGTTAAAAGTAAAATATTTTGCAACCGCGCACACTAAATACGTTCCAAAATTGTTTTTTAAATTTTTAAATTTACAACAAAATTTCTTTTAATTTCCGAAAATCATAAACAATCATATCAGTTACTTGGATTTTTTAATTTTTTTATTCAATATCTTTTTGTAAAGAAAAAAACTAATTTTTTTTTCTTAATAGTCTTATAAACGTGGACTTGGCGCGATTTTTTTACAGTAAAACTGTTTTTGTTCGGATTTTTTATACAAGCATACGGCATTAAAGTATAATTACTATAATAGTTTTAAATTAATAACATATAATAACAATAAAGCAAGGTTTTTAAGTTACTATAACCACATTCACATGTACAAAACGAAATAAATAAATAAACAAATAACGAAATTTTTTTTTTTTTAATTTCTTAAAAAATCAAACTTTTTGATCGAAAAAATAAAGATTTTTGAAAAAAAAAATTTTTTTTCATTGAAAAAATGAATAAAAATCGAAAAATTGCTCATATTGGTGATTTTTGCGAAAACAAAGAATTTGAAGCTTCGGGGCACTATGAAAAAAAAATCGCAGCGCTTTGAATTTTTCAGGGATTTTAGGAGACACTTTGAGGTTGAAAAATTACTGACGATATCCTTCGTTCATCCATTTTATCCAAAGTTATACCAAGATATATCCAAATATCCTTAATTATATGCAAATTTTTTTTTTTTTTTTTTTTTTTTTT